GATTATTCACATGTCGTTATAGTTGCGCCGCCTCTATTGCCGCGACTCCTAAAAAACTTTTTCAATCCGCGTCGCCCATCAAGCTCTCGCTGGATCCCCTCCTCTGCTATCAACAAGAGGAATGTCTGTACTTCCTCAACAGACCACGAAACAGCCATTTTGTAGTTGTTAAAAAAAGGTCCGCTCGTTCAAAACTGTTGCGTTCGATCCTTCCGGCTGTGCTGATTTAAATCTAGCGGTTCTGTTGTGTTTGTGTTTCAAGTTCAGTGACGCAGGTAGTGACGATTCTCTCCGGCCAATCAGTAATCAGCAGAGTTTACACGTCACATTTTGGTAACGGTACAGTTCACTTGGAACCTCAACCGAGGAAAAAAACCACCAGGTACCGGGTACTGTACCCAGTGGAAAACCCCAAAAAAGTGAACCGTACCGAGCCGTACCCTGCAGTGGAAAAGCGCCAATAGAGATTGCATTGCAGTGCCTGCAGTTCAAAAAAAATAGTCTTTGTACGGAAGTCTATGAGAACAGTCTGGGCAATCCTCGGCCATAGTGAAATCGCCCAAAAAAGGGCAAGTACTACACAGAACACTGATTGGACTAAACACTATATCCAGAGGCAGAAAAATCAGTCTAGAACAGTGACAGCTGTGGTTGAATGAGATAGAAAAAAAATTCCTCCCTTTTGCACTTTGGTGGAGTGTCACCCTATCGCCCTAATGAAGAAACCACCCCTGTTCAGGAGCACGAGATGCAGCTGTTCTTACCTGAAGGTCCCTCTCTCCACATCCTGACCACTGAGACGCACATGGATGCCTTCCTTTAACAGAGAAGCTAAGGCCATGTATTCTCCCAGAGCCCAGTCCACTGAGCGGTTCTGCACCATCGTAGCCCTGCCCTTCAGGATGCGGGTGAGACCTTAGACGAAGACAGACAGAATGAGTACAGATGCTGGCTCAAGCCAAAAAATATTTTTAAGCCTGATTTGAGTTAAACAAGCAACTTTATGATATAATTTTTGTTAGATTTTATTGGAGATTTCATAAGTTTTTGAAATACAAAGAAATTTCGGTATTTCTGCATTCAAGTAGATAGGAGCTGTAGATATAGCAAGTTCCCAACATGCTTCACAGATGACTTTGGGTACAGGTGATCTGCCTTTTCATAACTGTCTGCATGTGTATGCAGAGATGAGAGTGAAAGGGTACCTCCGTGGATGGTGAAATCCTCAACAGGCACAGAGGAAGCCACCTGACCAATGTGACTGAGCACTTCTTCATTGAGACCAGTGGACGGACAGCTCATGCTCTTGGGTTGACCGTCCAGAGTAAAGAAACCTGAAGGGTACAGTACAAATGTCAAGTCAAGTAGATTTCAGAGCAAATACTCACATGTAATACACATATGCAAAAGTGTCTCAGTTTAGGGACATTAACACAAACACACACACCTGGCCAAGGTGAGTCAAGCCAGTGCTTGATGTGCAAGATCTTCTCATCTTTAGAACGATTGTACGCCTCTTCACAGATTTTGTCATACTTGGCAATTTCTTCCTACAAGGACAGGCAATGTAAATATTCACATCAAGTAATTTCAGTAAAAAAGTATCTAACAAATATTGCCAATATTTCCTATTAATGTAACTACAACTGAAACACTACCATTCAGACCTTTGGGGCCAGTAAGATTTTTTTAATGTTTTAAGTATCTTACGCAGACCATTTATTTGATCACAAATACAGTATTAACTGTAATATTGTGAATTATTTGTACAATTTAAAATAAGAGTTTCCTATTTTAATATATTTTAAAATGAAATTTATTCCTGTGATGCAAAGCTGAATTTTCAATAGCCATTACTCCGGTCTTCAGTGTCAGTGTCAGTGCTCAAGAAACATTTCTTATTATCAATGTTGAAAACAGTTGTGTTGCTTCATATTTTTACGGAAACTGTGATACAAAATGTTCAGGTTTCTTTGATGAATAGAAAGTTCAAAAGAACAGCATTTATTAGAAATGGTAAAAACATTTATAATGTTACACAAGATTTTCTGTCTCTGATCACTTTGATCTATTCTTGGTGAAAAAAAACCTTTCTGACCTTAACTTTGAATGGCAGTGTATATATTAATTTTAGAAATAATATTTGGTTAACCTGACCTCATATTCCTGTCTGCTTACAGCTCCTTCTGTAATGAGCTTTTCAGCATATTTCTGCAGAACAGGTTTCTGTTTCTTTATCTGTTTGTACATCAGCGGTTGTGTAAACATCGGCTCGTCCATCTCGTTGTGGCCATTACGTCTGTAGCTCACCTACATCACAAAGGTGAACACCAGAGTCAACACCTAAATCACATTTGACACCTACTTGGCAACATTCCCACTTAAAAAAAAAGTGTTTCCCTACCAGATCAACCACCACATCTTTATGAAAAGTGGCTCTCCATTGTGCAGCCACATTACACACGTACATCACAGCCTCAGGGTCATCTGCATTAACATGGAAGATGGGAGCATTGACCACTCTGGCCACGTCTGTGGGGTACGGCGAGGAACGCGCCATCCGAGGGTCAGTGGTGAAGCCAATCTAAAGAGAGGGAAATAAATATATTTAAATAAATGCAAATTTACCTCAAAAAAGTCAAACTCATATGGTGATTTCAACCATTGATAAATTGCACCATTTAAACCACATATCTTCTCTTCAAAAGTCTTTCAGGACAAGTAATCATGAAATGATATGCGTGTTATTCCAAAACAAGCACCTATAAAACATATTGTAAAACAGAGAAATTATACAATACTACTGCTGGGTCAGGTATTGTTTTAAGAAATCAGTACTTTTATTCAGCAAGGATGCATTAAATTGATCAAAAGTGACTGTAAGACATTTATAATATTACAAATTTCTATTTCAAATCACAACAGTTTTCAACGTTGATGAAATGTTTCTTGAACAGCAAATCAGCATATTAGGATGATTTCTGAAGGAACATGTGACACTGAAGACTGGAGTAATGATTCCTTCACAGGAATAAATTACATTTTAAAGAGGTCATATGAAGCTCTTGGTGCATAAAGAAGATCTGTAAAGTTACAAAGACTAAAGTCTCAAATCCAAAGAGATATTCTTTATAAAAGTTAAGAGTCAGCCACACCTACCTAAAACGGCTCGTTCTAACACGCCCCCACATACCTACCTCACTATCTG